ACTGAGATCTAATCGGCGATTAATTTGATATTAATCGAACCTTTAATTGATCGAAAATCATGTTGGTTATTCTTTGAACATATGTTAATCGATACTTAATCCAATATTATAATCAAAAACCCAAAATGTTCATTATATTAAGTTTATGATGGGTTTAATCTTAATTGAGTTCTAATCGACGATTAATACGATATTAATTGATCGAAAGTGATGTTGATTATGTTCTAAACATATGTTAATCGATAGTTAATGGAATGTTTATCTCAAAAATCATTATATTAAGTTAATTATGGGTTTAATCTTAACTGAGTTCTAATCGGCGATTAATACGATATTAATTGATCGAAAGTGATGTTGATTATGTTCTAAACATATGTTAATCGAGAGTTACTGGAATGTTTATCTCAAAAATCATTATGTTAAGTTAATTATGGGTTTAATCTTAACTGAGTTCTAATCGGCGATTAATTTGATATTAATCGAACCTTTAATTGATCGAAAATCATGTTGATTATTCTCTGAACATATGTTAATCGATACTTAATCCAATATTAACCTCAAAAACGCAAAATGTTCATTATATTAAGTTTATGATGGGTTAAATATTAATCGAATTCTAATCGGCGATTAATACGATATTAATTGATCTAAAGTAATGTTGATTATGTTCTAAACATATATTAATCGAGAGTTAGTCGAATGTTAATCTCAAAAATCTGAAATGTTCATTATATTAAGTTAATTATGGGTTAAATCTTAACTGAGTTCTAATCAGCGATTAATTTAAAATTAATCGAACCTTTAGTTGATCGAAAATGATGTTGATTATTTTCTGAACATAATATGTTAATCGGTAGTTAGTCAATTATTAACGTCTAAAATGAGATTAGTCTTAATCGAGTTCTAGTCGACGATTAACCCGGTGTTAATTCAATCTTAACCGATCCAAGATATCTTGTTAACTATTTTTGAATTATCTTTAATTTTAGAAGTCATCAGCTTCTAAAATATTAGTAATAATTGTAAAATTATTCTAAAATCTTAGTTGAGGTCTAATCGACTATTAGCACAATATTAATTAAGCGTTAATCGACACACTTAAAAACCGTTCTATAAAAATTTGCGTAGTCGTAGTAGTCTAGAAGTAGTTTAATTGTAAGACGCATCTTTTCAACCTCAAAATATGTAGAATTTTGCACGCTTTATTGGCTACCATTGCATAGCTAATAGATTTGGGCTTTTCACCTGGCTATCCGATTTTCTCTAAGAAGCTTAAACTCGGAGGAATACTCTTTTACAGATAAGATTTCCGGCGAGTTTGTGTACAAGGTGATTCAAAAGTTGCGCGACATAGGTTTCAATAATTTTGAGACGCTATCTTATTAATTTTGCTAAGACTCTGTGACATAGAAATTGTAAAAATAGAAATCAATCATGTAACTTCTAAACTATTTAACCTTGTAACTTCTAAACTATTTTGTAAATTTACATTACGAATTCATTTTTAGATATCCTGAAGTGTTTTGTGCAAAAAAGGTACTCTTATTGAAAAGTTGTAACATTAACCGTTCTCGAGATATAAAAGAGTTTGTGGTAAAAAGCATTAGAAACCATAGAAATGAGAATATCTTGATTGTTAGCTTGTAACTTCGAAAGTAATTTGTTAATTTGCATTGCGAATACATTTTTGAATTCTCTGAAGTGTTTTGTGCAAAAAGGTACTCTTATTGAAAAGCTGTAATATTAATTGTTCTCGAGATATAAAAGAGTTTGTGATAAAAAGCATAAGAAATTATAGAAATGAGAATATCTTGATTGTCAGCTTGTAACTTCTAAAGTAATTTGTTAATTTGCATTGCGAATACATTTTTGAATTCTCTGAAGTGTTTTGTGCAAAAAAGGTACTCTTATTGAAAAGTTGTAACATTAACCGTTCTCGAGATATAAAAGAGTTTGTGGTAAAAAGCATTAGAAATCATAGAAATGAGAATATCTTGATTGT